TTTTTACGTGTGTGAGCCAAATTACCTGCGAGTTTTCCACATTAATTTACATGCTTTTTTAGTTAATGTATGTAAATGAACTTTAAATAACTTCCAAAAATAACTTGATTTTTATACTGTTTGTTACATCTAAATTATTTTTGTCAAGTGCATTTAACTCCTGCCAAGCACAAAGTCTAAAATTAATTTTCACAGAAGATTTCAGACTTTTTTTTTTTTAAATTTAAGAGTAAATAACATAACATAGAGTATATTTTTAACCTACTCACTTTTTCAAGCACATAATGTTTCAATGTTTCAACACAAGTTAAAACTATGTTGTCACATTCCTGAACGACTAATTCCTAATTCTAAGATATATCGTTTGGGTTTTGTTACCAGTTTTCACATTGTGGCTGAGGTATATGATTTAAAGAGCTACACACTCAGAAGTAGAAGTTATAGTTTGATTGATGCACTAAGAGGAATTCATCTTATTGTAATTTGAATTGGTGGAATTTTGCTGTTGTTTAGGCATAGATGATGTATCTGCCTTCTTATGTACAGCAGGAGCAGCAACAGCTTAACCCTTATTCGTACTCCAGCCAAATGATATACTATTGTTGTCTCTAACATGGACTAAATCCTTTAATCAAAGTATCTCTATCAACATCAATTTATATCTAGAAGGGCCTCTTTAAATAAAATAAAATTTCAATGTTACAAAGCGTGGTGACATAATTTTTATTTATTACATAAAAAAGTTTCATAATGTCACTAACATAATATAAAAGTCATTCTTTATATCCCTGCCTAGATTTTATCATTTTAACAAATCACAACCCAGTCACAAGACATAAACAAGGTGTGGTGTATTTTGGAAAGCGATATATTATAACTAGGATGTTTTTTGACAATTTACAGTTTTTTTTTTTATCTATATCTATAAATCATAGTTTAGTTATCCTATCTATAAATGACTTTAACGATTTGGCGTCAATATAAAATCCAGGATTGTAAAAGTGCACCTGATACACTGTATGATATCATCTTATTGTACTATCGTCATATATTCAATTTATCCAAGTAAAATACAAGCTTATATTTGTATATACATGTATGTACACCTTTTAAATTAGCTGTAGATTGTTGGTTATTTTGCAACTTGTTTCAAAATCTTGTATTAATATCAGTGTCTCTATAAAGACTGCAGAAGGCATGGCTGACACTGTTTAAAAAACCTACTACCACTCTGCAATATTACTTGTTAAACTTGACGTATTAAAGTTCATATTAATGTTAGTATGGTATATATATTTTGACCTTTGGTAGACATTACTATTGTTTTTGTTAACTTTTGAAGAAGTTTATTAAAAGCACAGTAAGCTTACTTCTGATCTCACCTATTTTAATCAACATCAAGTCCAATTACAAAACCGTTGAAAAATATAAATATATCTCACTGTTGTAATACATAACTTATACCCTTTTAATCATTTAATTGCAGGCGATTCAAATGTTTAGTTATATTCTTTTAAAAGGTGATTCTTTTTTTTCCCTATTGAATTCTGTATGCAGTTTAACAAAAAACCTTATATCCTTTTAATATGCATTAATTTACATGACAGCAGAGATTATATGCACACCTACTAACTGTGGTCTAAGTAAATATTATACTCAATATAACTGTCAGATCAAATACTCTGGCACAAAGAGACCAGAACATACACTGAAAGCAATCTGCTTGCTAAAATAACATGAGTAATATATTTAATCAAATTTTCATTCATTAGAATATAAATATAAGTTTAAAAGGTTAACTCTGTCACACCCATAACCATGCATCTTTTCCTCTCAAGAAATGAAATCTAATAATTGTAATTTGTAAATAGTTTTTTTATTTTTGTTCTTTGCTTTCGTAAACATGAAAATATAAAATTTGATTAGTCAAAGTATTATTTTTTGGCTCAGAAACAGCCACAGTGAACACAGTATGTACTTTCTTGAGGCTCATCCAAACCCACTACTATGGTATCTGGCCATTTTCATACCTTCCTAAATATAAGGTTTTGTAGTGTTTTCATACCTTCCTTGATAAAAGGTTTTCATACCTTCCTTCATATAAGGTTTTCATACCTTCCCAGATAAAATAAGGTTTTCATTCCATCCCAGATAAAATAAGGTTTTCATACCATCCCAGATAAAATAAGGTTTTCATACCTTCCAAGATATAAGATTTTATGGGGTTTTCATAACTTTCAAGATGTAAGGTTTTCATACCTTCCAAGATGTAAGGTTTTCATACCTTCCCAAATGAAAGTTTTTCATACCTTCCAAAGTTCCAAGACATAATGTTTTCATACCTTCCCTGATATAAGTTTTCATTCCTTTCAAGATATGAGAACCGTAAGTTACAACATCTCTATGGATTGAAATATTTCACCACAATCTGATAAAGGTGAAGACACTTAAAATGAGGGTGTATTTAACAAAAAAAATGTTTAAGTTTTTATGACACTACACATTAAAAGATTCAATAGAGTCCAAATTTATCTCATAAACTGTAAAAACCTGGTGTTTTCAACCCAAAATAAAATAGAGAGATAAAACATACAAGAAAGTTTGATAACCTTGAAGGTAAACAAGTTTAATTCTTATCTCATTATAAATATAAAATACAGAATACAAGCATTGAAACATGGGGCTTTAATTGAGTTATGCTTGGTCACCCTTGGTGATTTCTGACTCCTAATTATTTAATCATACACTCACTGGAGTGATTGGTAAAAGATAGTTATCATAATTAAAGTGTGCATGATTGGACAATCTAAAGTTGATCTCTTTCAAAAAATATAAAGATCATGTTTCAAGGTCATATCAATTACATAGAGGATCTTAAAATTGTGCTTCTGTCATAAGAAATCTATGAAATGAGATGCTAGATCTGATATTTCCAGGGCTTTGGCAAAGGAAACATTCAATCCGGATAAATTTTATATGACATAAGCACAAGTGAATGGTTCTCTTTATCAAATGAATGCACAATAAAAAGGACATCTCTAAGCTTTGAAATCGATTTTATAACAATGTATTTTGACACTTGTTGTACATATTATTTTTCTTGATCTGGTTGTACTAATGAAGAAGAGCTTCTGTCAATTTCTCCTCACTGCACACTGCATGGTATTGCCTATAATCATTAGCCAGGAGCAGGAAGGTAGGGCTTAAACTATTTCATTTCGGTTGATTGCATGCAGTATTGACTTATGAAACTATCTTTGTCACCTTGATCTCAATATGTAACAGGAAAATAAAATTTTGACGTGTCAAATAGTTAAAGGGATGTCAAGGATACTTAACTATAAATACGCGGAGTGTCAAGTTCTCCAAAAAAAAGTCTGTCTTTTGAAAGAGGGGATAAAATGGTTATTAAAAGTACTTAGCCAATCTTTTCACTGAGTGTAAAAAGATTTAGAGATAGAAATTTGAGGTCAAGATTTCATAGAAATTAAAATTTTTAAAATATCAATATATCTACACAATTATTATCTAAAGTATATCAAATAACATAGGGAAGAATGTTATGTTACAGAAAAATATCTGTCAAATAGCAAAATACATTGAAGTTTGCAAGTGCTGTGCAAATATTCTGACGAAACCAGCTTAAAAATCAGTGTACATTTGAAATGCTATGATATGTCATGCTCCAAAACTAACTTATTTAAAGGCACAGGTTCACTATCTGTTTGACTAATTGTACCCTAGTATCAGAAACGGGAATTTTTTTAGCTAGGCTAATCAGTAATAGTGCTCACAGCTCACCATCAAAATTTGGGCCTTCAAATCCATGTGTGTCAGTGTCATATAAGAAATATAGATTTACTAAAAAAAAACCATAAAAATCTTAGTTATGGAAGATTATGACTACCTGGATACCACTGACATGTACAAAACCAAAATGGTATTAAGTGTTTTGACAGCTAACTATGCAGGGCTCACCAGGTTTCCTCTGTAGTAATTTTCAGAGTTTCAAATGCACTCTGTGACAGACGTCAAAGCTAAATTATCATTAGTTACTACAGAAAAGAATCCTTTGAGTAATAATAGACAGAATTAAACAGCAGCTGTGCACAATCAACCAAAAAACTGCAGATTCAAATTTAGATTCGACTTTCATGTTTAAAATTAGCTTTAGATATACCACAGACATAGCTCAACTTCAAAACAAATGACGAGAAAAAAAACAACTGAAATTCAAGACATAACTGATGATTTTTTCATCATAAGGTAGCAATTAAACATTGGTTGAGATAAGTGCCAAAAATGCATTGTTAAAAGCATTAGATTGACTTAATGATTCACCTCCCATTGTGCATGTATCTAAAAATAGATTTAAAACTCAAGCGATAAAATAATACGTTTTGGTGTCAAAAAGTTGAACATTTCATTTTTTTTTTCAGTTTTTTTACATCTAAGTTGTTTGTTCAAGAAAACTAGTCTGTTGAATTTCGGTGATAAAATTTGTTAAAATGTTACAACTTCAAACACCTTCAAAATGTCATTAAAAACCTTCAAAAGATATAAGGTTAAAATACAGACCTTTTTCAACATTTTAACAGTTTGAAAAGATAGCTTGCCAGGTACTAATGTTCACAGTATCAGCCAGAAATTAATATATTGGCACAGCAGACTATTCCTCATTGGAATGGTGAGAGGTAGGGATGGGCCAACCCTTAGAAGCACTGGCCATTGCAACAGAATTTGTCTGATATTGAGCACAGGACAACCCAACTTGCTATTCCTGAGCTATTCCACTACCAATTGGTGGTGCTTCTAGAATAGCTTTTTTGATTTGGCCAATCGTGGGTGGTTCTTGTGGTTCTTGTGGTTTATGTTTTGAAAAGTGGTGATTCTTTTAAAAACATCAAAGATTTGAACAGTAGATTATGATTCTGTTCTTTGAAGAATGTAGTCATGTTGTATGCTAGTTTAAAATAGACAAAGTGAGAAAATAATCTTACCATTAACACACTGGAATTTGTCACAACACGATGAAGGTAGTCCTGTAGCTTTAGAGATTACTTGTATCTGATATCCAACTGGACAATTTACTGCAGGGCAGTTATCTTCTGATTTACATTTACAACTGAAATATAAAAACATTTCAAGGTGAAAGAAAAACGAATCAATGAAGCTTTCTGAGAACCATAAGAATTTACAATGCTCTTAGACGTGGTCTTGGAACAGTTCTGAGAACAGACAACCATCATCTTCTCCAGTAGAATTTTGTCATTATTCATTGCCATGTAAAGTACATCAGAGCAATTGTTCTTGAAGAGTTCCACAGTAAAGTTGTGCCTAGATCAGTTTCCATTTACACTACATGCTAAGATTTCTTCTGATATCAGTTCATTTTATTATTTTATATTGGCTCATTGTAAGATGGGGTATGGTATAAGTCATAATTTGATGACTTTTGACTGGGAAACAATAGCATACTTTTGAGTCTGGCACAAAGTTATTGACTCAACAGCCCTGATTCAAATTAACTTCAAAGCAAACAAGAGTTCAAACTTTTCAAAATAAATCATAGCTTTAACAAGATATCAAAATATTTTTAGATACTTAAGTATCTTGATACAGTATATTTATATTTTTAAAAAACCTGATAAAATAAACTAATATTAAGATGAAATGATAAGGAAATGAAATCTATTAACTTTTAACATGTTTATATCTATGACAAATTAAGTAACATGTGCCTGTTACGAGAGGCCAAATAAATTGTCAGATTTCAAATTTTTTAGTCGGTCTTATTTGAGGGGGTGGAAAAGATTGTTTTGAAATTTCTCAAGTTTCAACTGGCATGTGGAGATTGCTTCAAATGATTAAAAAAAATACATATCCTGCATGTGGTAAAACTAATGGAGTATTTTTAATATATATCTAACCACGATAATTCGGTTTTCAGATGGAAGAAAAAATACAGGAAGACAAAATACATGTGATACCATCATGAAGATAATACATACTGTGAATAATTTGTGTGATAGAGAATATCAAATGATTTGAAACATGTTTCTACTAGATCTACAGTATCAAACATTGAAAAAATAACGAGTCATTTTACCATAAAAAGTTTGCAACTAAGGTCGTTTTTCTTCAGAAAATTCATATCAACAACATTTGATATTTGAAGATATGTCTATGCTTTGATTTATTTGATATTACTTGAATACAAATATTCAGAATAAGCATCAAGAACTATGTCTAGATTTTGTAATTAAGATGTTTACTTCATGCATTAAAAAATATTTTTTAAATCTAGAGCTATATTTAAATCAAGAGTTATGTTTAAATCAAGAGCTATACTTAAATCAAGAGCTATATTTAAATCAAGAGCTATATTTAAATCAAAAATATATTTAAATCAAGAGCTATATTTAAATCAAGAGTTATGTTTAAATCAAGAACTATGTTTAATGTTTAAATCAAGAGCTATAGAAATCAAGAACTATGTAAAATTTTTAAATCAAGAGCTCTGTGACAAACTAGCCTGTTTCTTTGTTTTATAGATTTAGTGATAAAACAGAATGAAATTTCTAGATGACGTTCAAAACATTTCATAAAATAGTTAATCATTTATGCAAAGAACTAAGTACAAGTAAATGATTTGACGTAACTTGCCAAACATTTTCAAACTATTCAAATCTGTATGTCACATGGCTAACTAAATAACAGAAACATTTGCCATTTACATGTTGAGAATATGAACAATTTAATCAATTTGGCACCTGACATAACTCTCCGCTTTGTTTATTTCTAAATCGACACAGAATCCATCTGACATAATCAAATTTGTTAATCTAGATGAATAAATTTACCCAAGTCTGTCACATGTGAGTTTTGGGCCAAGTTTGTGGTCTTGGTTTCAACTTTAACATTTGTCGACAAACCCTACGTTTACAGTATAAAATGTGCATGGTTAGGTGTGTCTGTTTTTACTACGAGACTTTTCAGATAAATGTTAGTTCTATTGTAAACCTCCGATCAGTTTAAATAAGTATTCAATTATCAAACAATACCCTTATTTCCGCTCTAGACCCAAATCAGCCATTATGAAGAGTTTATCTCAAAAGAACCTCCCTCTTCAATTACTGAAAAATATATTTTGTTTAAAGTCAAAGGTTTGAATTATAAAAAGTTTGATAATACTATCAACAATCTGAACTTTTAAAACACTCTTTCATTGATGTTAATGTCCTTTCTGTTTGAACTAGATGACTAAAGAACAATGGATATTTCAATTTAGTTAAAGTTTGGAAATGTATGAAACATGATGAATTCAAAACATCTATGACTAAATTTTTTAATATTTTTTGGTGAGGAAGGTGTGAAGTTTTGATTTGATTATGAGAAAAATTTGTAATTTTGATTCCCCTGTAGAATCGACAACTAAACAGGTACCCATGGCTTAATTAGATAATGAAAATACAGCAATGTCGTAGTATCAACATATTATTTTTTTTTCCAAGACAAAAGTTTTTCATACCTTCCAAGATGTAAGGTTTTCATACCTTCCAAAGTTCCAAGACATAAGGTTTTCATACCTTCCCTGATATAAATTTTCATTCCTTTCAAGATCCATTTTAGGATTTTTAATGCACCATCTGAAGCTGATTATTCCCTTCTAAACATCTGCATCTCTTTGATCAGTAAGCCATGTAGCACACATGGTTGTGCTCATTGTCTCATTTCCATGTCACCCCTATCAGTATGAAGCAGAAGTTTGTCTTAAAACCTTAATACATTATGATTCCCTTTCAGCGAGGTAGCTTTTAACTACAAGAACATTATGTTCTGAACATAACCAGGTTGGATAATCTGAATCTATAATGTTGTACATAAAATTTGAATTGGGTAATCATAAAGGAAGAGTATGGTATGTATTGTTTTTGTATGTCCAAATATGGGCTGACAACTCTTGAACTTTTGAGAAAATTGTTAACATCTGCAAAACTTTTAATCATTTTAATTAAAGTTTTCTACTTTTCTCATGTTAATTACCAAAACGAATGTCAAGTTTAAAAATATTTCAGGAATTTGAAAAAGTTGTATCAACCCTTTTTAAATACTTGACAGGTTTTTTAATACCACCTTTTATTCACCATGGGCTAAAACACATTAAAACTACTTTTACTATTAATTATCATGAAGTTGGCTGCCAAAAAACTGACACAAACAAGAATTTTGTGAGGGCAATAAAAAGAGGAATACAAATGACTATCTTGTTTTTTTACAATTTGAAAACATAAAGTCATTTGTATACATCAAGTTAATTCAGCATGTTTTTTAAGCTGAAACAGACGGGATCATTTGTTACATTCGAATCCTTTAATTCACTTGTAATCACTGTTTACTTTCATACTAATTCCTTAAAGAGATAAATTTCTTTGTAATCATGAGCTCTTAGTAAACATGAGTTTTTGTGCCTTGTTGAATTGTTTCAGATGTAGACTTGAGTCTAGACAAATGAAGTTAACAAATTAGATTAAGATCCACTTAATTATCTAAAAAAGCTATACCGATCAGTTGGAATTTGCTGCACCATACCATACCATATTCATTGCTGTTTGCAAAATGTATAGTTCTGTCGCAATTGAGACTGATTGATCCATCTGTTCGTTTTAAATTTAATATTTGACCTTAAGCTTTTAAATTCATTTTGTTATCAAATATTTTCCAGCTTGCACAAATTAATGTCAAAAGTACACGCTTCAAATTATTCTCAAGGTCAGTGATAAATATTTTCTATTTCATACTAAAACACCTTGTATGAAGATATGTAGACCACAAATTGCTTTCAAATTTAGCGTAAAACACAGATGTTGAGATGGCAATTATTTAGAAATAGGCAGAGAGCACTCTAAAAACTAATTGAGACCACTATTGTGAACTTGAAATGATCCCGCAGTAAAAAAGTAAAAGTCTATTTACTATTACTTTCACGTACTTGAAGACCTATGGTTTAACTATTAACTTATTATTTTGATTTTATTGGTTTCTAGCATGTGGTCCATTCTTATTTAATATTATGAAGACCATGTCGTGGACTATATGTCTATACAATTATATTGATATACTATACATGTTGATATACAATAGATATATAGTTTAAATAAATATATATACCACTTAATATAACTCATTTTCTAATTCTTCATTTTATAAAGAAATTCAATAAATAAAACACGTGTCCAGTCCAAATGGTAACAAGTGAGTTCTTTTGTTTAAGAGATAAATTCTGTTAAATCTTGTGGTGTAACATAGAGCGTTAATAAGGTAAAATTGATGATCAAGATACAATGATTCACTCCTGTAAATGTTGCAGATGTTGTAAATGAGCCTTTGAGGCTCACAAAGAAAAAGATAGGGTCGGCAGATTGCTTGATGCACAACATCTTTAATGCAAAAGAAACCAAGCCTAGTTTGTGAGGGATTATTTTTAAATTCAAAAAATTTTTATTCACAATGTGTTGATGATGAAGTGTAGCCTTTTGGCACCTGAGGCCAATAAATTTAGCAATGTTCCAGTCTGTAGAAGACAAATGAAAAGTAGACCTACTTACCCTTGTTGAATATAACAACAGTCATCTTCTGTTAATATATTAGGTAAAGGATAACTGTCATCAGGACAAGTTTTAGTTTCTAAAGCAGGACATATCACAGATCTACATGGTGCTGAAAATAAATAAACGACAATTATAACCACAAAATCTAGTTTCAGGATCATTTCTAATTGAGAAAATTCCTTCCCAAACAATTGAGTGTCAACAAACATTTAATAATCTTCTAAATTTCTCCACAAAATAGAAATTGCAGTGGAGAGCAGACAACCAAACAAGGTAGGTACTTTTCTTAAATTTTCCATGACTCATCTCAAAACTTATACAGACAATTGAAAAATATTTCATAATACATTCTTGAATCTTTCAATATATTTTATTTATAATTCAGTGATTCCACGATGCAACTGACTTAATTGTTAAAAAGCATTTGAATAAAATATGACAACTCTTCATGAAACCAAATTACCAAACAATTAAACACTTGCGTGCTACGTGTAATCTCTTGCAGGTCTGGTACATCAAACATCACAGATGCTAGATAAGCTCTTTAAAGTTTTGACATGTTTGACTGCCTGCAGGTGTTTTATGCCTAATTAATTCACATTTATGCCTATTCATAACCACAATAAATTAATACATGTTATTAAATAAAGATAATTAATTATGCGCTCAATATAACAATTAGCAGATGGTTTGAAAGTTAAAAAATGTTCATGCCTTACAGTTGCTTCATGTATATTCTTATGAAATTTTCTAACCTGTGTTGGGTGTTATAAAAGATACTCTCCTATAAAAGCATTGGCCAAGGTCACAAGAAGAGAACATACTTCTTTTGAAATGTGCAAATTATGAAAAAGATGTCTTCAAAAAGAAGAGATGATATGCAAGGAAATAAATATTAAAAATGAAGATTAAGGTATGTCTTGCAATTCTATTCTAGAAGTCTTGCCAATACTAATTAATCTAATTTAAATGTGCTTTGGACCCCCAAACTTTGTGGTTCTCTTCAATCACACTCTTTGCATGACTTTCTTGCAAAGTTTTGTGTCACTTGAGTTTAAGAAAGTATCTATGGAGACCTTTACTGTAAGTTATTCAAGCCTAAAGTCATGGATGTCAAGTAATGAGATAATGAGGACATGACATATGTCAATGAACATTATACAAAATACTTCTACACATGTTGGTATGATCTTACACATGGCCACACAAATAGTATGTCACAATATTAGTATCAATGTCCGAGGTTTGGGTTAGAATAATAAGGTGAAAACTTTGACGTGTCAAACCCAACACACTTAAAAAAATAAATCAAACCCATTATCCACATTCTTGTCAAACCCTGTCAAAGACAATTATGTTACATAAATGTCAAACCCATCGCAAATGTATACGTAAAACTAATTTCACTCTTACATGTCAAACCTATTGCACACATACAATGTACATGACAAACTCGTCAAACACCTTCATTTCAAACCTGTCATGCACAATATATGTGTCAAACCAAGATAAAATTCATAACAATGTAAACTATATAACATGATTACGGAGAAACATCATCTGATATCTAGTGAATGTGTCTGGTTGTACTCTGTTGCTGTTTTTTTAAAGATTGTAAACACAATAAAAGGCTTCAGTATGATCAGTTTTTTACATGTTATTCCCTATATATTTATATTGGTCAAGCCCACAATGGAACTTCTGGAAGTTTTACTTTTCGTCAAGGATTGCAAAAATTATTGACCTCAAATTAAAGTTTTTGATAACTGGGAATAAACTTTTCTACGTGTTCATACATTTTTTTGTGATTTGCGTTAGATTAAAAAGTAGTAATCTTCATTGATGTATTAATATCTGTTCAAATCACAAGTGTTTACCCACAAAAAAATAGACCAGATTTCCATCTTGCCCTCTAGCTATTTAAATAGTTGGTTTACATGCTATGTTGGAAAGTACACCAAAGTTATTTTTCATGATAAACAATTTATCAAGAGAGTGGAATAACAATCAGGATTATACAATAGCAGCAGTAGATTTCTAGAATGGTCTGTCAGGAAGTATTTTCAAGTATAAGATACAGCAGATATATATTTAAAATTATTCATTAAAAGTTACGTCCAAGAAGAAAAGTTGCCTATTACTAATTAGATATGTTTTGGAATGTGTATTTCACTTATGAAATGTTGCCGTAAAGTTTGAAAGTTAACATTGGTACTTTGGCTTGAAGCTTAATAAAATCTCTTTGAAAAGGTTTTTTGAAGCGTCTGGACAACCCCAACTGGATCCCGAAGGAAATAGACTTCTAAAGAATACTAAGAGCTAATTGAGGAATTAAGAGGAAACTGATCATAATAATCCTGATTCTTATATTAACAATGAAATAAAAGGACCATTACACATATCATTAAGTCTATAGTCATATTAAATTTGACTGGCTCAAGGTAATTTTAAATGGTAATTACGGCTTAATGGAGGTGTTTTTGTATCTGTTCACAGGTGCTCCTATTATCCAGACACAAGTTTAAGTCATGCGAAACAATTTATCATCATATACATAATGTGTTTCCATTGAAGATTATTCTGAAGTGTCATTTTAAAAGCTTGACTAATTCACTAATATGCTGATATCTTAGAGTAAACTGAATGGTGATCGACAGTGGACCAAATAAGTGTAAGATTACACAGTTTGATATCCCTATAGGCAACACTCTCTATGGTCATAGGAGGAGAAATTTCATGAACTGTGTGATTAACAGCAATTTAAAGCAAGTAGAAATTGGAGTAGAAGATGACAAGAATATGATAGCAATTTTCATATTAACAGTGAAATAAGGTAGATGATAAGTTTTTGAGACAGGACTACAATGAGTTAAACATGAGTTGACTGAATTCCCTTTGTATACAAACTATTTCTGGAGGCATCTTCTCATGATCATTCAGTAGGCAGACCATGGTATTTGATCACAAAACTAGTCCTAGATTTGATCAACTTTTCATTTGGCATTGTGTGTTACAGTCTGAACAGTCTTCTTATGATTCAACATTTTGATCTTGAAGTACTGGGTATATGACATTTTTACAATCAAACACTCATGAAACCCAAATTGAAATCAAATTAAAAACTTTCCCTAATTCAATTTGTTACATTATGGCATGTCATTCAACAAGAAACAACGTATAAAGAAATCATGTGTTAACTAAATTAATGTTAGTAACTGAAATTTCTATATTAATTTTTAGGACCATAAGACATGAAAATTGAAATAGTCTAAAACACATGTGTACAACTTTTTTTGATAAAAAGTCTGAAATGGTGTAGTTTTAGGTAACAAAATCTTGTAATAAAAATGAAGTATGGGAAAGATTAAGATTTTCACTAAACGCCCACATCATAATCTCTTTCAAAATGGAGTATATTTGGTTACAAGTTTGCATGTTTGTTTGTTATTTTTTTATGACAAGCTATAAATTATAAAATCATTTTGTTATTGCAATGACACACACTCCCTATCAATTTACATTTTTTAATGGCAGAAGTGGCTACGAAATGATATTTGTTTTTGTCCTTTTAAGGAAATGTCTTTCCTCAATTAATTTCAATTTAAAAACTTTGTACATAATGTGTTATAATACATAAATATCATATGTCATCAAAACATGATCACAAGATTGTGTCAAAAGGTCAGTTGAGGGCAATATTTAGAAACCTTTTGTCAGAAGGAGGATAAGGTTTTGTTGTTACTGTTCAAATAATAAAAGATTCTGACGAAAGTCTGAAATCTGGAAATTCTGGTTAAATTCTATCTGGGAATTTAATAGCATAAAGTAGTGGATACCAAATTTCAACAAAACATTTCACTGAAGACAGTTTTAGCATTAGAAAAGCTCTTGTCAATCATACTTCAATCAAATGTCTTCCAAGAGAGCATCCAATAAGTAGCATCTTATCAATTCTTTCTAGTTTCTTACTAGCACTAGCTGACCACTTTTACAATGGTTGCAATAACACATGCCCTAATGAAATTTTGCAAAATTGGCAACTAAATCACAAAGAGAAGCCAAGAATCTGCACTGCAATCTGTTAATGTTTGGTGGACCAATGTGACTATTTCAATGAAGTGAATGTGTAATGGGCCCCATATCTATCAAAATAGAAGTAATGGTAGAGCACGGTGTTCAAGGTAAAAGTACATCTTTCTGCCAAGTGTACTGTACCAACCTAACCTAGTCATTAGCCTAATAAGGTGCAGAACAAAGGATGTAAAATTCATTCTGTACATTCAGTAATTATTTAAAAAAAACTTCTGGAAGGAAATGGCGGCACTATTAAATCTTGCTTACATCATTTCAACATATTTACAACATGTGTGCAGCCATTGCAGGTTTATTTTGACAATATCAGGTTATAGTCTGCTGCCATTTTACAAGACATATGAATGGCCTGCAGTTCCTGATTGTTCAAATATTTGATAATGTACAACAGAATTAACTTCAGATGTTTAAACAAATGTCAATAACATATACTCTGGTTTTACCGCCTTTTTTCTTAGCCATATTGGTTCCAAAAAGAAATATGTGTGTTCTGTTAAAGACTTAAATAAACTATTTCAGATTTGCCTATAAATATTTTGCAAAGGAGCAGAATCTGTTCAACAGAATGGTTGTTTCAGTGCAAAATTATATTTAGATGATATAAGTAAGCTCAAACAGCGACAGCATACAAGGTAATCTATGGGTGTCTTTAACACAACTTTGGGGGTTAGGGTCAGGTTTTAGGAAGACTTGTCTCTCCTCAAGACAATAATACATCTGTACTATGCTTCTTTAGGATGCTGGGTGTGATTGGTAGTAGCCAGGCTTGATATTTTATTGAAGAAAAGGGTCAAAGTATACAGAGATATTACTAGATTCAAATGTGAAAGTTATAAAATGTTTCTGTTCAACAACAAACTATAAGCATTTACATATACCATTATCTTTAACTTTCAATAATATTTACCATTTAAACTCAAGTTGCAGATTTCCACAGGAATGCCCAAATTAACCATGGACAGTAAATGGATCAGACTAATGCGATGACTAACACTTACTATTTATAATGTTCTGATTTGTTTCCCTTGCTTATTTTTATATAATCATGACTAAATAGGAAGAAGGATAATATGTCATATAGTATCATAGAATTAGGTTTATATCAGTAATTAGCTGATGACAGATTCTATCATCAGATATTAGTAATAAAAGTATTAGATAAAAGGCCATATTAACATATCAGCACCCTGTCCTACTAACTTCCAAAAATAACTACCTGTAACAGAATCTTAGAACTGGAGATGCAGTACGGACCTAATTAATTAACCAAAAAAATTCTCAAAATAACTGGGTCTTGTTTCTCACAAAAGCTATCTAATTTTCTCAGAAATTATAAAACATGGACAATGAGCTTACCTTTTGCAAGTTTTGCATTAGAGGCATTTCTAAGAATCATTACAGGAAGGCGAGTAGTGGCCAAAAAATGGGGGGTGGGGATCTAACTTGTAATTCTTTCACTACTTAAAAATTGAAAGCGGGGGCAGACAGGCCAGCTTCAGTTCTGGGAAATGCCACTTTAAAACAGGTCCATATTAAGAAGGATAATACAAACTTGTTCAATTTGTTTCTACTCAATTTTTTTCCACTTTAAAGCGGCTAATTTATAGCTTATATTTGACAGTCAAGTCATCATAAACAACAAGTAAATATGAAAATAGAATATTAAGGTGGACATGAGGCTACATCTGTCAAGATATAATTAATATATACCCCAGACAAAACAAATGACGGCACACTTAAACAAAAACTACGTCAAACTTTTTAGGAGATGTATAACAATAGACAAGATGAATAAAAAACATGTCATATCCAAATAGACCGAGCTCTTGACAGCAAGATTAAGTCTTACAAATGAGATATCCAATTATGTGTTAATGGTTAGAAGAATGTCAACTATTTGGGATTCTGAATGGACATTTTGTAAGGGAATTGGCCTAGTATGTATTTTGAATGATGGACACTGACAGTATGAAATTGTAGATAAAGTAGAAAACATTTTGATTTGTCGTCTGCTACAAGTGTTTTCCCTTTTTTCCATCAAACATCAAACTTGTCAAAGGACCACCTCTTCACAACTTCATTTCAAGTATATTCAATGATCAAAGGCAGACTTCACAGCTTGTAGAAATATGTCCTGAGGTGAAACAGTTTCTACATTTTATTCAATTTCTAGGTCAAAGAATTAGACCATAATTAATGTGCGATACACCTCAATATTTCTGGTAGGACCTACATCATTTACATTTTTATTGATCAGCCTTAAGGGATTATGAAAAATACATGGATTGGTCTCTTTTCAATTTGCTTACCAGGTAAATTCAGTCATATTCGACTTTGATTTATGATTCAGACTGCTGTATTGATTTAAAATGTAAATTGTGTCTATCCTCTATCTACAGGATGAATATTTTTCCACATCAAATGGTTAAGGCTTTCACCAACTGAATATGTATCAAAATAATAAAAGACCCCCAACTCGATATATAGTTTCTCTCGGAAGAATGCTCGAAACGCTTAGAAAATCTCCATTTATTGCATGTAAAATATTAAAAATAAGAAAATTGGCCAGTTACCTGATCTTTTACACACCACCTCATCACAACAGGAGCCTGGTATTCCAAGACCTTTGGTTAATACAGCAGGATAAAATCCAGGGCTACATGTCGTCTTTTTACACGCTACTGGTCGACACTGACATTTTATTCTTTCGTCTAAAGATGTGGAATTTTGTATAGGTTTAGAATCTGGAGGGCATTTAATAGTAATATCAAGGTTATCACAGTCATTGCTTGTACAGTTTGTTTTATTGGCAGACGACTCTACTAGTACAGTATCCACGGCAACCTTATCCACTAGTTTGGTGTCCACCGGAACTGGATCCACTAAATTTCTCGGAGGTTCTGTTGTTGTGAGTTCTTCGGAAGGAATCAAAACTTTGGTAAAATCATCATTTGGTTCTGGTGCAGTTTCTACAAGATTACTACTGACTTCAGAACTTATTTCTGAAAAGAGAAAGAAGAAATCCATCATTAAAATTTTGTTCTACATCATCTATTCTAAATATTGTACTGCAAATGTTGAAGGGACAGGTGCGCCATTTTGGGGGTTGATTTGAGTGTTGAATAAAAAAGTAAATAGTCTTCAGAAGTACTAGAAATGAAGAATATTGCATAATTCCTTCATGAATTTCTTTTCCTATTTTTTATAGATGATATGGCACTGTCTCAAAAAAGACGACTCATCTTTTTAACTTTAAAGCAAGAAAAATTGTGGACACACATGATTTAAGACACAAATTTTTACGCTGAGCTGTGAACACTATTACAGATTGGCTGAGACTAAAGTATGATTGGTAATATCCCTTGATATTGACTCTGACCGTACAACTACTGACAGAAACACGCTGCTGATCAAAGTCTAGATTTGTTTACACCCATGTGTTATGTTTGTTTCTTTCTTTGACAAGATACTTCAGTGTGTTTCTTTTGAGCTGGTGTGTTTGTTTTGCTTGCTGTGATTTCCTGGCCTCTACTGAGCTTGTAAATCATGACAGGTTGAAATCTATGGATGGAGTTCCCCTCATCAGGTCATCATTTCCTCTTGTCCATCCTATCAGATAAAAATCAACATGTTTTCACAGATCTAAACATGTATCAAATTAAGAAGTTTTCTTATTGATTCTATAAAATGTGAAAGATGTTTTGGTAAGATGGAACAAGGTTTTTCTTATCAAAATAATGTTAAGAACAATAAGATTGGAGTGACCATTGCTAATTTGCCTACAAATTTTTTTTCTCAAGAATTTTTGATAAGTTTTACAAGAAGTTGAGCGCCATGTGTATGCTCCCCTAATCCACCATTACACCCAGCCATGACCATTTCCAACTGACCATAGAACCCATAGTTACCTTATCTTTGTAAACTATGGATCTATGGACACTGCACTGCAATGGTAGAACAAAATGACTATTTGCCAATTTGAAGATCAAATTTAATGTATGGATGGAAGGTTAACTTCATGACTTTAATGACCTCGACATTTTTTTTAACTACATAATGAGAGTGATGATCTGTACATGTGTAGTAATTTGATTGAACCTGCTTGATGACATTTATAACAAATTAATAGTCAATGGTAAATCATTTGGTCAACTAACTTCTCATGTTTAAAAACAGTTTAACCTTTCTAGTCCTCTTCATACCCTGTGTGCTTGACCCTTGGTTTAACATGAGCTCAGTTGGCATTATTGTTTTTTAGCATATGTATGTACTTGGTCACCTGGTCAGTTTTTGCATAAATCAAAGAGATTTAATTTCACTACATGATCTGATTGGAAATCTGCTAAGTATTTACCTATTGAATCCCTGCTTGGTTTAACATGACCTTAGTTAGTAGAAATGGTTCAGTAGTTAATTGTAAGTAAAGCAATTTCTACCAAAATAAAGAAGATATTTGCAATCTCATTATAATTGTTCTGTATGCAAATGAGCTCAGTATTTTTCAGTTTGCTGGAATACTCATTTGGTCAATTTGACAAGTGCCAAAGGACAATTTTGATGAAATAAGATTGACCAAAATCAGTCAAATGTTAGTGTTATGTTTCCTGATGCTTAAATTATTACAGATATGTGATGCCAGATTTGTAACCATTAACATAAGCCCTAACTCTTCTTTGTGGTGCAAAAATCAGCTATGAACATGAAAAGATTCTCAAAAGTCCCATCGTTTTTCCCCTTATAAGAAAGCCTATTTTATAATTATGTCAACCATAACAATAAGTCATGGGTAGAGGAAAAGGTTTAATAAATAAATTGAGTGTTTATTATTTAATATAGATTTATGGTCATATCATCAATAACCATTTAAAGTTTATATTGTCAATGAAAACAACTAGCATATCATTGAGTTCATACACCAACCCCCTACCTTGACCTAGTTTAAATGACTCTCTAATATAGGAGATAATATAGGTTTAGGCCTACTGTTTTCTGGTGCATGGACACTAGAAATGTCTGCTTTATGTTTCCATTGTGATTCTTCTTCTAGAATTTAATTTTACAAAATATGGTTTCCACTTTTCCATGTTAGGTAAACTTCCATCTTTCTATGCTATTTATGTTTTAGATTTTCAACAGAGAATGTCCTGTTTCTGTGTGTTTTAGAAAAAGCCTTTTGTATTCTAGCATTAAAACAGAGTAAATCACCCCTACTGTTGTGTGAGTAGCTAACTCTCCTCCAATGTCTGAAGCCCTATGTTGGAATGTTCCATTTTCCAAATTAGCTGACAACCTAATGAACATTTTAAGTGCCAGCAGCTGAGCTGAGATGAGCTCTAAGCAATTCATAGTACTACCAGAAAAGATAATGGCAATCAATTGATTTAATTCAATATGCAAACTCTGCAGTCATCAAGAAATCCACTTCTTTCCCTTGTGACTACAATCATATTGAAGATATTGAAGGTAATCTGTGAATAAACAGTTGTTGTTGACAATGATATCATATGAAACTATCAGTATAAAGTTAAAACATAAAATCAGTTCAAAGTAAAACAGTCTGATTGTATTTAATCTTTTAATTCTCTTTGATCTGCTCAAAGACAAGGTTAGGATAGGATAAGTAAGGGACAGATTGTCTGACAATGAGGTTAAATTGGTTGGTTGGCAAATCCCTTCAATTTCAATCATTCTTATATGAAAAGGAATATAGACTTCTCATAACACCCTAACACAGAAAATATTGGAATGACTTTCCTTCTCAGAGATATGAAGCTTTGTAACTTTACATATTCAAAATAAACACACTTCCCACTGAGATATTTCAAATGAAAAATTTGGCAACTTTTGACAAAAGTTTAGCCCTGTAATAAACAAATTTCAATACATGTACTAGATTTTGTTTGTATTTGTATCAATGTAAAGTATTGATTATGATTCAACAACAAATGTCACTAGACATGAGCAAACTAAATGAACTCGCTGATTTATTTATCTTCAATTTTTCTCTGAATCAAATGTACAAATCTTAGTGCAGAAGATATTTTGATTGTAGCAATCAATTATTATAAATAGACTGCACATTAGAGACTTTGATTGATGTGGGGACGTGTTATTAAAAATCACTCATAAAAAAATAGACATACTGATATCTCAATTTGATAAATTAATCACATTCATTTTCTAAAATATTTTAATTTAAATCTCTTATTTGAACAATCTGATTAAAATGCAACTGTTCTGTTTCATGTTATTTCTTCAAGTTACTTAATCTACATACTACCTACAGAATATAACAAAGCATCCAGATTTACATTAATTGTTTTATGCACTGTATTATAAAATCTGAATAAGAAATAAATATTAACCACCAAAACTCTAAAACAGGACCTAAATTTCTCTTTGTTTTAGTTTCTTAGTTCCTTGCTCCTCAAGGAGTACTTACTACTGTAATCTAATTATTAACTTTTATTGGACGTGCTACCTGTGATTCATTTTAATACCTGAAATTCTGAAATAGCGTTCATCTACAAATAGAGCACAAATGCAATTGATTAGAAATGATTTTGATTTTATGTAGTCTTTAAAGATATTTAAAGGCTTACAACCAGCTAAAATTATTGAAAATTGAGAACAGTGTCCATTTTTTCCAAAGTGAAGATCGTAGACGTAAGTTTTTGAAATTCTTACTGAAATGAATAGTATGGTTTGAACAATGTTTAAGCAACTAAAAGAAACAAAAAACAACACATTTTGTTGATTAAACCAACAAGGTCACATAGTCTACAAGATCAAATACTTTTTATGCCAACAAAAATGGTTGAAATTGTTTCAATTCTACTAAAAAAGGACGAAACATGTAAACATGAAAAACAACTCCAAATTTATTTAACTTCAATAAAGAAGGATTTTGGAGCCATTTTGACTATGTCACCTTAACCCTGAGTTACAATTTCATTCTTTTGTCTAAATGTGTTGTTTTGGTGGTGAAGTGTTGCCAGATTTCAAGATCAATGATATTTGAAGTGTCTGTTTAGATAAGCAAGCTCTTCAAACATTTTAAACATTGGTTTTAAAATCAAGACAAACTTGAAAGCTCAGCAAAATTGTAAATCTGGCAAGATAGTAGAATGTCATTTGAGGTGAACAACATTGTTTACTTTTGGTTTATAACTTTGACAAAAGGGATGCATTTTGATCAAAGCACGTAATTTCAACATTGAATGGGATGGTTACATTTCATAGTTTAGAGAAAAAGACTTAAAATAACCATGAACTGTGTTAAAGTAGGACAGAAAACATTTGTTTCTTTTTCTATTAACCTTGAAAATGTCACCAAAGCCTATGATTAGACAATTTTTCACCATTTTGGAGAAAATTAGTGTGACCCATTCTGAGGATTAGTCTTACAGATATAATTCACTATACAAAGGTGAATGATTGATGTATTTTAGGGGGTTGTGAAGAGGTTTTTGTCTTTTTTAAGTGTTTCTTGACCGTTTATGGCATTTATTTGCATCATTCCATATTTCTTTGAGATGTCTGCAGTTCCTGTAATTATTAGAATGCTTCATAAAACAATGCTTATACTTTATCAAACCCTTAGTTATACCCTTAGATTTATTGGAATTGCAAGAACCATAGATGTCTGACTGAAACTTGGAAGGGTGCAATCAATGCTATCAGAGTCCTTGATACAAAAAAAAACTCTTTTAACAATGTTTGTAAAGACTTATAAAGAAAGTTTGACAAATTAAAAATGCTTACAAAAGCTTGATCCAGGTTCTTAGCTACAAGAGGGACAATGCCCTCTCCAAAAATCAAGTCTGGCTACAGGCCTGGCTTGGTCTTTTGGTGTGATTGATAAAACTCAAAAACATCAACAGAATGATATGAACAATTATAGACTGTGACTGCACTCAATGTTCTTTGATTAAAATTGATATGAAACTATACAAAA